ACACACACACACACACACACACACAGTGTTACTGTTCTTTTCTTGTAAAATCTCTGGTGAAATCTTGTGTTGTCACAAGTTAACACTCCAGTGGGAAAGTTTCCACACCATGTCATCCCTGATGCTCACCTCTGCATCATAGTGTTTGACAATTTGCAGGTCAAAGAAGTCATCTTCGTCTTCTCCAGTCAGAGACGCATCCCAACCTCCGGCCTCAGGAACCTCATACTGGTCCTGAGAGCTGAGGTCATCGGCTGGAGAAACAACAGAAAAAAAACATTGTAAGTAGACAAACACTCCATCTGATGTAATATAATAATGAGTGTATGGTTTAGAACTAAATGGTTTTACACCCAAGGAAGTGACGTACGTTTGAGGTTCAGGAAGAGGACAGGAATATGAGTCTCCATGCCTGCCAGAGGAACCCTGTGAACACACATGTGGAACAGCTTGTAATGATTATGTGTATTTGTCGATAAATCAGAGACACAAACACATCCTGCCATGTGTCGCACCATTCAGCAGGCGCTCCAGGAATGCCGCTGCCAGCAGAGGGCACCATGACGGCGTTTCTCTCCTCTGTCAGAGTCAAGCGCCACTCCAGCAGCTGAGCCTCCCTCTCCATGTCATCCTCTGTTTTCTCTGTGCACAAAACAATACTCAAAACATTTAACTAGTCCCTCTGACGACGCTATAGACGACTACATGCCTGAGAATTATCGGAGCAATGGGTGGTGTTATAGGTTTCTGAATGTGGAAGTGTAATTGTATAGATAGCGGGTTTGTTGAGAGTTTTCTGAATGTCTGCATACACTGATGTTCCTTTGTGTGTTACCTGATTTGCTGACCAGGCTTTGCAGATGTTGGTCGAGGTATTCCTGTCTCTTTGTGAGAGCGGCTAACCACTGCTCCCGCAAACGTTCCAGATCTCTTTCCTGTCCAACAAACCAGTCACTTAACCATCTTGGGCTTCAATTCCGCAGCAAATTGATTTATGGTTTACTGAAATTAGGTAAACAGACACTATGGACAGACATGTAATCCACTGATCTACCTGATAACTGTCCATCTCATCTCCTTCCTGGTTTGCTGCAGTGTTCCTGATCTCAACACAGCCCACCGACACTGCAAGCACTATCTCTGCAATCAGAGGCATGGTGCCCGAGTCCTGAACTGAACGCACGTCCACTTGGATCCGCCTTGACTGACCCTACAGATGAGCAGGGAGAGGAAGTGTAGAGGATAGGACATACGTTTGAAAATGTTTATAATATTTCAAAGTCGGCCTGTTGGCTGGAGTTTGCTGGTTCCTACCTGCCGAAGCTGGAAGATTCCCCCGGTCCGTATATCTCTAGCAGGAACCACTTCCACTGGGACAAAGTCTCCGTTCTCGTTTATCTCCAGGATTTGAATCCACAGCTCCAGGCGACGTGTTACCTCACTCCATCTGCAAAAAAAAACCAACATCATCAAGAGATCTGGGAAACAAAACAGTTTTGTCTTGCAAGCCAGGCTGCGGTGAGGGTATGTGTTTGAGTCTACCTGTCTCGTAGTGTGCGTGTCTTGGCCTGGATGATGCTGAGGTCCCACAGGGCGGGGTTCCTGCCTGCATCTGCCTGCCTGTGTCCATAAACCTCGATGGCGACAGCCCCTTCTGTGAGGTACTCGATGAAATCCTCAGTCACTGACACCGCCAGTTCCTACGGTGCCCATGGAGACCAGTGTCATACTCACAACCTGGACATTAACACTTACCCACCACTGTTATAAAAATGTTCCCACAAATGACCTATGAAAGCTGTGAACGCTTTTTTCTTTATGAAATGATTCTCCCCCTCCAGTTCTCACCTTGCAGCTGTCAAACACCACCATGCAGTGTGGGTCCTTGGTGCTGGGTGACGAGGATGATGGGTCGACTTCAGGAGCCACGATGATTGGCTCAGAATGGTCCCAGAAGGAGTACTGACAGAAGACGAAGTTGGAGAGGTACTGGGGAAGACCAGTGGCCTGCAGGATCTTAATCTGCAGAGGATGCAAAGGCCAAAGGTCATTTTAATATATTCAAAATGAAAATGCAAAATCTGTCTCTTCCTGACTAATCACAGTAGATACAAGAGAAGGCGTCGCTCTGGTGATGTTTTAGTCTCACCATGCAGACAAATTTGCGATCCTGGATCTCGGTGTCTTGGTTGTTGTCTGGTTCGTCTCCTCCAGCTATGTTGTCCTCTAAGCCGCCTCCGACTCGAACCACCTCCACATGGAGACGCCCTGCAACCTGATCACAGAGAGAAGACGGAACACAGACACAATGGAAGATTTAACATTTAATAATCCTACTGTCTTTTGAGCTTTTCAATCTTTTCCTGGAATTTTGGAATGATTCATAATCACTGTCGTAACAATATTATGGTCTTAATGTGACCTTTGACCCTGACATGTTTCCCCTCTGTCGTGAAGATGATGATCCACTGATTTAATCTTCTTCAGTTGATCAATGAGTCACTCTAGACGGGTGTCAGAGGGATCACTACAAATGGATGTAATGTCTCAATGGAATAAGCTGGTGGGTTTTAGAACCCACAGACAAATTCAAAATAACTTACATATAAGTTATTGTCTGATAAAATTTTAAAGGCTGCATAGATATTTACCTGAGATATTTAGGGTCTAACAGGATACATACAATTTTTTATACTTTTAAATTCTGTGTAACCCAATAGTATCCCTACCTCTCCCTTCTGGTTGATGATGGGAATGGCGTACTGAAGCTTGACATCGTAGAAAAGACAGGACAGAAAAACATTTGCAACGCCGATCAGACTGTGGTTTTCCTGCTCGTCGAAGAACGGGTCAGCCCGACGAAAATATGAGCGCATCACCTAGACAAGAGAAACCGAGAATATTTTAAATGAATGCAAGTTTTAGCACCTTTTAATCACAAGTCGTCATCAATAGTGCTTATTGATCATCTTTCCAAAAGTTAACAAAGAGGTATGTCCTCATTACATAATCACTACAATATAAAGCATGTGTACACTCTGTTACTGATGGTGATGTCATAGTGACCAGGCAAGGTATTTATTTTTTAAGACAGCAAAGTTGTCATGTTCACTCACTGGGTTGTCTTGGTGATGTAGGTGGTAGTCCTGCCACTCCTGGTACAGCTCCCTCATGTCCACCAGTCGGTTCTCCATCTTCTCCAAGCTCCAGATCTGTTTCCCTCTACAACGACGTCGGACTTGAATCGCTGGTTCACTGAGCACAGCATCCCTCTGCACACACACACACACATATATATACAGATTAGATTATGACTGGAACAGAAGACAGGAAACTTGCTCCTGAGTGTGTTTGTGTCACCTTGCGGTTTGCATTGAGGTTGTCTGATGGGATCTGCAGAGTGACTCTGTACTCAGTGTGTCGCTCCAGCTCGTCAGAGATAAAACAGGCTTCTTGCACCAGGAGGTTTGCCCTCACGATCTGTTCCCTCAACCTTCTCAGACTCCTCACCAACACTGCCTCCCTGCAGGGGGTGTCAGGGAAGAAGAGGAAATGTTAAATCCACAACACAACAAGAATGCACATACCTACACACTCACAGACACTCACCTGTCCTCACTCCACTGCCTCAGTCGGCTCTGAGCGCTGGTTGAATGGCTCATCCCTCCCATGCTGAGTCTCTCCAGGCTGCGGTAGTGTGACTGCTGTGCTGGACCTTGCTGGCCGGGTGTCGGCGCTCCTGACTGACCTGTGGACAGACGGTCCGGGTTCAGCTTCTTGCGGAGCTGCTGGAGTTCCTGCTCGTACATCTGCCTCTGCCGCTCCAGAGCAGAGCGCTTCTCCTCTTCATGCTGCCTCTCCAGAGACTGGAGGACGGCCTGCATGGGGTCTGACAGGACACAACAGAAAAAAGTCAGAAAACTGACACAGGAAAATGATCTAACTTTGCAGTTCATAGATATTTCATTTTCTTAACGTGTCCCTACCATTATTGCCGAGGGCTTTCATCATGACCTCTGTTTGGGCGAACTCGTAGGAGAAGCTGACTTCACTGGACACTTCGCTGGCTGTGTCCCCATCTGCATCCAGCTGCTCACTGCTGCCACTGTTCTTCATTACTCCACCCTCACCATCCTCTTCCTCCATTCCTCGGGAACGTCGCTTAGGCAGGTTGATCCTGCAGGTAGCCGCCAGGTTTATTACTTCTGATCTTTGGTATGTTTCGGTTAATTAGCTCAAAACCTGACTGACTGCAATTAGTTCATAATTCCTCCATCTTTAATTTGTCTGATGTCACATGATGAAACTTTGACATACATGAGTTTGTTTAATAAACACTAAAATAAAGTGGGTAAAAATTTTCTGATATAAAATAATACATGATTAACTAATGTTAAAACACCACATAGAGCAGAGGAATATCCTATGACAGGGAAAACTATGGAAATCAACAACAAAATTTTAACTTTAATTTCCAAACAACATAAAAACATTTAAGGTTTGTTTAAAATTACCTAAAGAAGTGATTGTTTCCCCAAAAGATCCGGTCTCCATGGTGAAGCTGCAGAGCGCTGGTTACTGGAGAACCATTAACACATGTCCTGTAACACAATGACAACAGCAGTGACATTCGGATTTACTCTTAAAACCTGATGTCTCTGTTTGTAAAAGAATTATTGATCCTGGCAGTGTTGCTTTCCTCTCTAAAAACTCCACACTGGAGCCTGGCTTTGTGATGCAACTTACCGAGCGTTGCGATAAGGGGTGAGGATAACGGCAGCGTCTGGCGTAATGTCGATTACACAGTGTTCTCCCTGGATACCCATCCCACACAGCTGGATGTCCTGAGAGTCTGCTGAACCCACTTTTGTGTGTTCCTGAGACACAACATTTGAAATATTCCAAAATGTTTTCAGCAGAAAATTTGATAAATACATAAATGTGACGGTGGAGTACACATCCCTACAAGCTTGTATTTAATTTATCAGTTCTAATTCAGGGCATCAAACACCAATGTATTTAATCTTGAAAGCTGTTTGATGCTTTCCACTTCAGTATAATGGATTTAAATCCCCCTTTTCCATAAGCAGCTACTGTACTGTACTACTCACAGTTGTTAAAATGCAACTTCAGTTTTTATAATCCAAACATTGCTTTTGGATTTTCTATGCCAGCAGAGATGTGATGTTTAGATGGCAGAAGAATCTGAGTTAAACACAGATACTAAATGAATAGTGACACTTTATTTTGTAAAGAAGAAGAAAAAAATAACAGATAAATAAGAAGATGAGAGAATGAGGAACTCAGTGTGTATGTACCTTCAGGTAGTACACCAGCAGTTCATTAAGAGCAGGATCAGCATTAAGGTTGACGAGAAAGCTCTTGTCATCCCCGACTTTAATCCCTGATGACTGGAGAGAAATACCCAGACTCTCTAACTGCTTCTGACGCTCCTGCAAACACACACAAGGACAAACATCATTTATTTCAAAATAATGAAAGAAAAATGCAGATTTTTTTTTTTTTTTATTATGTCATTTTTGTTTGTCCGACCTGTGCAATCTCTTCTGTTTTGCGAAGCTTTTCCTCCCAGGTGATGGTCATCTCTTGAATCAACTTCTCCGACTCTTCCAGACGCTCCTTCAGCTCAGGAGCCTTTAAAGACTGGAGAAAGAAAACTGTGAATGGGAAAAGGGGAAAGCTGAGACTTTGATTTCTAAGATTTTGATGCTGTCTCACCTCTGCCTGGGTCAGCTGCACTCGCAGTTTCTCTACTTCCTCTCTGAGCTCCCTGATGATACGAGCGTTGGGGTCTTCATTAACTACAGCATGGTTGACTATGCTCTTAGCTCGGTCTGCGTAACGCAGCGTCGACAGCGTCTCCTCATAATTGTCTGCTGATGGACTCACGGTTGCAACCATCGCTGTGCGACTGTTTCCCCCCAGACAGTCCTGGACACAGGAGAGAGAGAGGAGTAGAAATTAGATGCGTTCTGTTTATGACACAATGAGAAAAATCCAAAATAGAATGTATTTCCTCTGTGTGGTGGACATGATGTCTTTTGTGTCTGTACCTTTAGCAGCCATGTCAGAACAGAGTCTCTGTAAGGGACAAACTTGGTCTTGTTTTTGGCAGTCCCCTGTTCAGCCAGCGCAGAGATCACCAGGCCGAGAGTCGTCAGAGACCTGAAACACACACATACACACAAAAACAATGAGAGGGGCTTTTCACTTGCTGCAGTGGGACTATCTGCAAGTAAATAACACCAAATAATATGATATAATACAAATGGGAAACTAATGTAACACTGCCAGAATAAAACAGCTGTAAACAATCTAGAGTTCAGGTTTAATTAAACATCCTAAATGGGAAAAAACAACCAATCTTGAGTTTGTGGATCTGTGGCTGGTTTTTGCATACTTGTTGATGTTGCTTCCCTCTTTCAGTCGTTCTCCTGCTGCTCCAGTTTTTGCTGCTCGTTCACTCCCAGCCAAATCTACCAGACTCAACCGACTAACCTTTTCACCACTCGTCTAGAAAAAGGGAGACAGAGAAAGAAAAAAGATTATTAACTCAAATGTTTGAGAGAACAGTTAATCTGACACACTTGCTTACATTTTTACTTAAACTGTAAACATGTTTTTTAACCTACTGCTCATCAGAAACCTGCTTTTTCTGTCCACGTCTTTTAAAACCGAGCAGCTTTCTATTCCGCTTGGTGGAAAATTCTAGTTAATCTTAGGTCAGATTTTGTCTCTTTTACAACGTAGTACCAACAAGTTACAGGCAATGTTGAACATGTCCACAAAGAATTACAGCAACCAACTTGAAAGTGACATACATACAGTATCAGAGCAATAAATGCCACTGTCATCAGGGAATGTTCTGTTGGTTTAGTAGCTAACAGCATCACACAGCTCGGTGGCCTGATCATCTTCTTACAGTTGGCAGACATTTCTGATTCAGGGTAGGATTCCATATGGCAAAAGGCAATGTAATGTCCAGCCTGGTCTTTAGAAATACAAATGTCCTGGAGCTGGAAGATTGATGCAGATCTGGATGTGCTGACACTCCTGAGAGCAGCAGTGTGCATCCACATAAGGTCAGACAAACCTCTGATGGGACATTAATCACCAGAGAGACTCCACACCAAGACAATCACCTGCTGACTTTACAACAGCTTTCAACTGAGCACCGCCCTGATTTGTGAGCACCAGAGCCACGCAGAACCTAGAGATAAATAACGAGGCATTTGCTTTTCCTCAGAAACATCCCCTCATTAATTAGCTGTGAAGTTCATTCGGGCTGAGAGCATTGGTCCATTTTTGCTCAGTAGATTTTCTCTCACTGTATTTAACATAACAGCAATCATTCGATTCCACAATGTGCTGTCAGGCTTTGGTTTCCCATCTTTGGGTTATTTGTCGACAGTTTCTCTCTCTGTCTTTCCAAGAGCTGTTCGGGATATAGATATCACTTCCCCATCTGTATTGTACAGATCAGATTCACTTCAGGCTGAGCGTGACAAGCCAGTAGCTGACAACGCTGAATGTAACACCCCATCTACACCTGCAGCCAAAGCAGAATGTCAGCTAATGCAGTCCTGTGTCTGCACTGGACCTGTGATCTGCTGCTCTACAAAAACATGCTGTCAACTATCTGTATCTGATAGAGAACTACTCAGGTGTTCTTTTACAATTCCACAGTGAATTTGTGGGAACCATTTTTTGTCAAACCTAACCAAACACGCAAACCAAGTTACAACCAGCCTAAATGTCTGCTGTGAT